TTTTTGGGGAGAGACTGCATCTAATGCAATTAGCTATTCATTTAGAGAGTTTTAGGGATATTTAAATGGGGGCTTACTTAAATTAAAGTTGGAAAAGGTCCTTGAAGTAGTAAATAAATTTCTGATCAAAATTTAGTACTTAAAATAAAGTTATTTTAAAAATTTTTAGTAAGCAAGTCCTCCTTAAATATTAAAACAATGAAAAGAATTTATCGTATAAAGCTTCCTTTTTTTGTTATAAACAATCCATGACAATATTGTATATAAATTAATATCTTAAAAACTTAAAATGAAGATCAATTTTAAAAATATCTTGCCACCTATATCTTTAATCTTAGATCCCCAATCGATTTAAAATCGGTTGGCAATAGCTTGCTCTACGTAAATCTTTTTGGGATCATCCAGCCATATGTTGAGATAATTCCCCCGCCTGGTAGATCCACAAAACCGAATCAACATCATTATCAGCAAGCCCACGGAAAGGAGATGGAGATGGAGATGCTCGGATGGAGATGTCATCATCGATCACAACATTCTCGAGGGCCGAGGATGGAAATCAGACAACTGTAAACTAATGACATTTGCAGGAGTCGGGGGTCCTGAGTCCTGAGTCCTGGTTACTCAGTCCTTGAACCACTGCGTATCCGCTTACAAATGAGAGGATGGGCGACGAGCCACCACCAGTAACCAGTAACCACTCGAGGGTGGGTCCAATGCCAATGCCAATCCCAATCCCAATCCCAGTCCCAATCCCATTGACTCACATCCACTCTGGAGTCTCTCGAGTCATTTGTTTGTTTTCGAGTGCTGCGAGTTGCTTGTCCAAATATGCGGCAGCTTGTAACAATTACCAAATGACACCCTCGACAATCGGAAATGGACAATAGCAGCCGGGAAGATGTGGCACAACAATACACACACATACATATATTTGAGTATATGAAGGGTAAGGGGAAAATCGTGCGGCAACAAATGCGCACTTGTCGCAAAAGCAATGGCAATATTTTCACCATTAGTTGTTCCCTTCGCTAATGCTCTTGTTGCCCGAAAATGAAGTAATCAAGCGAAATCAACTTAAAATTCAGTTTGAGGGCAAAGTTTATGAGCTGGAAGTGCTTTCGTCTCCCACACGAGGCTTTCATGGGGTTGAATGGTTAGCACAAATGGATTTTGTTAGCATAGTCATTTTGAGTAAAGAAATTCCAATCTGTTGGGTTTTGCATCCATAAATATTATGAAATTATAAATGATTATACATCAAGCTTTAATTATCTTACATATCATTTAATAAGAAATATAAATATTTTTGTAAGTACTCGCTAGACTAAATTAAGAAACCTAATTTTGGTAAACCTGCAGTTAAGAGTCAACACTTTCCAACAACTAAGAAAAGTTCTCATATCTCTACAAGATCCCCACCCCGAAAACAGCTGCCTGAAAGAAGCTTTTTCCCCAACGAAAATTATGAAAAACCGACGACATCTGCTGCAGTTTCGGTTTCTATATCTGTTTCTTGGGGGAACATCGGACGTCAATATGATTTGTGATTTACAACAGGTTTCAATTAACCAAAAGTATGCCCCAGGCTTTTGAATTTTGCATGTTTTTGGGGCGGAGGAATGGGGGTTCTCCATGCGGAGAGGGGCATTTGGGAGGGGAATCGGAGAGGAGAGGGCGGAGCAGCTGAGAGGCGATGACAGGGACATAAATAAGCGGCGGTTAAGTATCGTGTAATGCTAGACGAATAGTTTTGGGTTTGTCGTGTAACTGTAAGTGGAGAAGTCGCTCCATATCCATAATACCCCCCAATTCCCAAAGTCCCGGGGGTAAACAGCCGCCGATGTTGCTGCTGTGCGCGATGTTGCTGCCGTACATGTTGCTGCTGCAGTTGCAACTAATTGAGGACAAGGCGGCATAAATTAGACAATGCTCGGCTAAGTGGATCGGAATCGGAGGCTGGGCCACCATATACTATATCCAATTGACGGCCCTGATGGATTGTCAAATTGTGTCTGCATCGTGGCGACGTCTTTCAATTAAAAATGCATCCCACTCCCGCCAGCCATCCTTCATTTCGGCTCCCTTTCGGTGATGTAATCTCTGGGCTCATTAAATTCAAATGGAATTTGTTCGAAAGGCAAAACTTAATCCGCTCGTAAACATCGACTCCCCACCTTCCAAGTGCCGTCGCACAGCTCCAAACATAAATCAGTTTAGCTAACCCAAGGATTTGCCAGGCTCAACTCAACTCTATTTTACCTACACTCGAAAAAATGTTGCTTTTGTGTTAAGGAATTCATGGGACTTAAAATTTAAAACGTGTAAATAAAGAAATAAGAAAATTGAATAAAATATATTGAGAGTATATAACCAAAATTGTAAAGTTAGACACAAAATTAGTGGCTAGTTTAATTTATAACAAGCATTTGGACAATCCTACTAGGAAAAGGATTATCATAAATACAAATATTTTTAAAAAAGGTAATATATTTTGAAGATAACTTAAAATAAAAACCAAAAATGTTTTTTTTAAGACAAATTTTAAAAAAATTATTTTTTGTTTCAATAAAGTTTTCTTTGTTTCAGCTTAAAAGAATAAGAATAAGTTTGCACTGTATGCTAAGAAAGGATTTACTTTATGAGCATTTTTAATTTTTAATAAGGTGTAAAATGCTATTGGTGAGATAAAGTTTTTAGATTCTAGTGCTTATTATATTTTCCACTGCGTTCGCAATATTCGAGTGTATGCGAATCGAATAACTGGCGAACTGGAGAGCGTGTGCCGCCGTAAACCTCGTAACGAATGCTGGCCAACGGCAGAAATCTAATTTCAAGCACCAGAGAGCAGGCGAGGCAGGTGGAGGCTGCCTTTTCCACTTGGCTGGCTTAACGATTCGAACTGCTGTCGGGGTTTTCGCCGGGACCAGGGAACAATACGGCCGGAGAGCCCCGAGTCCGACCCCCGCCACCTCCACCTCCAACTCCACCACCCATCCACTTTGTTGTCTATTTGATGTCTTAATGCGAGCCACCCAACAACCACCCCCTGCTTACGATTTTCCCGCCCAGGCATACCGTTTTAATCAAATGGATTTTCCTTCTATTTTCCATCCAATTTTCCCCCGTGGCGGTACGGAAATAGACCCGGGGAATCGGAATATACCAACGCCCACCCACTCGAGAGCGGCGACAACAGGAGCGACGATTTATTAGCTTCTTACACGTCTGATCTCTGCTGGTATTAGCCAGCTATATAGCCCATGGATGCCAGGTATTATTCATCGATGGTCTAATGGCATTTATAACATTTTAGTCCACCATATTTATGGGCTCTCAAGATTCCAGGATTCCTTGATAGTGTCAAATTTATTTTATTAACTGTATCAGGTTGCCATGATATGGCAAAAAATGATAACAATTTCAATTTTTTTAGGTTTCAATTATCATATGGTCATAGCTAACAACATAAAGTAAATGTAAGTTGCGCATTTTGTAAGCTTTTTAAGTTTAAAACAAAAACTCTAAAGATAATATAACAATTAAGGGAAATTGAATTTAAATACAAGAATGATATGCGCTATTATTTAAATGTTACATTTTTGAAGAAATTTTTTCTGCTAACTGTTTGTACTTCAGATAAATATGTTTAATGATATTAAACTAATGAAATTACTATTTTTATAGCCGGCATTTATAGCCAGCACATTTTGCTATAAAATTTATTTCATCCGATTTACTGGGAACAGTTGTAAAAAAGTGATCAAGACACGCACCCTTCAATGGTTTTGATATCAGCTAATGTAAAATAGTTTTTAAAATTTATATACAACGTATTTACCAATTGGCGCCCTTAACTCTTAATTAAATAAAAGGAAATGAATGAATGAACTGAAAACTGAATTAAATTAAATTCATTTTAATGAAAACTGCACCATACTCAGTTCATTCTAAGGTAATTAAAAACCATCCATCTCTTGTATATGAATTTACCGACTCAGTGTTTTATTTATTTTGAGCTCGAATTCCGAGGGATTTATTTGCAAATTATATATTGTAAAATCCTTTAAGACATCGAAGATTTTTGTCCTCCTTCAATGGAAATAGTTGGCTGGGCAATCAGTTCCTCCGGCTTGCAAATATTGCGGCGTTGTGGTCCTGCATTATTTAGGTAGCGTTTCTTCACCGAATCGCTCCGCATTTTATGCACCTCGATCAGCAGTTGGACGATCGCTAGTACAACCAATAAGACAATCAGGTTTCGGATACCATATAATAAAGAACCTATTTGATTTAAATTGCTCATGATATCGTCATTATAAATATCCCACGAAATCAGCGACATTGTTTTATAATAACAAGCTTAATATAAGCATAAACTGAACCGGTGTCTTCCGAATTTGAAGTTGAACTGAAAAGCGAATAAAACTGCACCGCCACTTTATAAAAAAACCCAACAGATGATTGAATCATACACCCAGAAAAAAATCGGTTAAGATGATAAAATCTATTTCATTTATGAATTCGAAGTAATTTTATGTCAAACAACTTTATTTTCCAAAATTAAATATAGAAACTTATTTCTTTAATTTAAGCTCAATTTTGTTTGTAAAATTAGCTTAGTAAGTCAACATTTATATTGAAAAATGTTCAATTAAAAAAAAGGAATTAAGGTAATAATAAAAAAAAAGTTTTCAGGAAATTGTGTTTCTTAATTAGTATTCTTTTTGTAAGTGTTAAAGTGTCACAGCTATCCAATTTCGATATTTAAGCCAAAATTTTGTGCAAATGTTTGCATTTGACTCAGCAGCTTTTCAAGCGGTTGTTTTCATTGGATTGTGCATAATTCAGAGTTGCTATGCTTAGCTAATAACAAGTTGACAAAAGTCAATTCGAATAAATCAAACATTTATAGAAAAAAAAATAAAACAAAAATTAACAATCGTTTATAATTTCCTCGTAAGAAACTGAATTTCCATTCCATTAAAAAAAAAAGAGCCGGCTTCAATTAACATTGAACTTTAATACATATATAAATACAGGGCTATGTAATACAATACATATTGGGGATTAGCCTAGCGCGACGCGGATCCCTGAAGGCGGGATCAAAACGGGTGCAATCAGTCTTCATTAAATAATTACGGAAAATTTGTGGGGAATGCTCTAAGGTATCCGCTAAAGCCTAAAAAATAAATTGTGCTACGGAGATTTAGAAACGCAACTAGGCTGAAACTGTTTTTTAACATATGTGTTCGCTAGCATCTGGATTCTAGCTCTAGAAACGCAGCCGTTGCTGTCCCGGCGTCCGTTTTGGTGTGACTTCGTTGCCATTGGCGGTTTGGTGACGTTTCCTTGGTGTATAGTTGCTGCAAGTGGGTGTATCCAATAGTGGGAGAACGGGAACTACGGCATCTACGTTGGCCTCCTCTTGGGGTGCTTCCTCTGCCGGCTGAGGTGGCTGCTCCTGCGCCACCTGGCTGACTTCATCCTCCGCCTCCTCTTCCTCGGTATTTTCCTCTGTGAATAAAGTGCGACGCACACCGCGTCTGGTTGTGGGTGGCGGTGCCTCCTCAGCTTCGTCATCCGTGGTCGGATTACAGCGGCCAATAACACGTTGTCGCGCAGGAATACGGGATGGTTGTGGAAGCAAGCTCGATCGGTTGAGGCTTGTGGGACCCCGATCATACACAACCAGGCAGATCTCAATGCTGCGCACGTTTCGACCGGGCAGCTGGGTCCTGCGATAGCCCAAAGTCAGGTGGACCGTGCAGGATTCGCCCAGATCCAGACCGCCGTCACTGTGAGTGTTGTGGCTGCGGCTCTTCAACAGCCCAATGGCCTCCACATATTTGAGGGTGTGAAGGGCGTAGCTCGAGGCGCGAGGGGGCGTGACCAAAAGGACGGGGAACATCCGCTCAACCACCTCATCGTCGTCGCTCTCGGGACGCAAGTGCATGGTGGTGGAGCGTTCCCGCTCCTTCTGTTCGTACAGGCGACGACGGGCTCGATCGAAGGACCTGCCGAATCGCTCGCGCAGGATTATCTCTGTGGCAATGCTGGGGGCCGCCGCCTCATCGAATCGCTCGTGCATGTAGCGATTGGTCACCTGGGTCCTCAGGAATCCAGTGATGGCCGAGTCGCCGCGGACATTGCGGCTGCAGAAGCTCAGAATGCAGTCCTCGGCCAGATCGCGGCGCACGGTGCCATTGTCCACGCCAGCGACGAACTCATGGATCACCTCCAAAGGCGTCCCCTCTGAAAAATATGGAAAAAACCAAAGAGTTGCGATTCCTATTGATCATCTTCAACCAGCTGCAGCCCGTGGATATTCACTCACCCTGTCGTTCCGGTGAGCTCATTTCTTAGGTTGAAGATTAATAGACCTCCCGAGGGTGGCGATTTTAAGATTTCACTTAGAAAATTATAAATAATTTACAAAATATAACTCGTTTGGACGAAGTTGTTAATACAACGTTGTTTTGGTTAGTGAGAGATGGAGAAACGTCGATGCCAACGTCGGTGACATCGATGTTTTCAAAATATCGATGGTATCTATGTTCGGTGTTTTTCCATCTCTAACTAGTATCCAAGTTCTGACTCCAGTTCTTGCGCACTGTTAGCGATTCCAATCCAGTTCTAGATCACTGTTATTTTCGACACCATTTTTTGCGGGCAATTTAGCTTCCACTCCAAGTGTCACGCACTATTAACCCGATAAAAAATGCAATCGAACGCTTAAAGTAAATTTGTAAACTTGTTCAATAACAATTATAAACATTTTCTTCAAACATCTATAGGACATCGATGTTTACCGCCAAAAACATCGAAATTAATTAACATTTGTTAATTAGTGGAAATTGAACATCGATGCTAACTTCATCAATGTTTTTCCATCACTAAGGTTTAAATATATATACATATATCGCTTGCTAACAGAAATGTTAAAACGGTTCTGCTAACTGCGGTGTAAGTCACCGCTAACTATCGATAATCCTGGCGTCTCCACTCAGGGCTGCCAGATTAGCTATTTAGTTGCTAGATCTAGCAACTAAAGATAAAATTTGCATATTTTTTGCTATTAGCAACAAATCTAGGAACTTTTAATTTGAAAAATGGGAAAACAATGATGATATTAATAAACAAATTGATAAAATTCAATTTATAAAATTTTATAGAGGACACCAGAAAATTTTGGTCGGTGGTCTTAAATTACAAGGACGCTGCGAACAACAATCCATTTAAAACTTTTTCTGAATTTGCAATAAAAAATTCTTTCATAGCCATGGTCGAATGCTGAAGTAGAGCGTATCAAATAAATTTTGTGAAAAGCAAATTACGCAACGCTATGAGCCTAAAAACATTTAATGCGATATTGTATATAAGGTAAGTTATACATTTCAATAATTTAAATAATGATTGAAAATAATAAACTTCAAATATTTTAACAGGAATGGATTACAGAGACACGAAAAATGTTGCCATAGCTATGCTCTTCCGTACAAATACTTGCTCTTCCTTGAATACTTGAATGTGAAGCTGACGAATTTTTGATTATTATTATTATTATAAGAATTCTGTAATTAAGTTATAAATAATTGATAATATTCTGAAATTATGTTCCTTTTAATTTTATTTTATATTTTTATATTCATATTTGTATTTTTAATATTTGTTTTCTTTAAATATAAATGTATATACTATAATCATAATCATTAAGACACAGAAAACTTGTTATTTATTTGTATTTTAAATTTCTATATTTCCCTTAAAGATATGCATAATTAGTTTAAAAGTTAAATGTTATTGATTTTCAAACAATTTTTAGCAATTCCTAGCAACGTCTTTTTGCTAGAATCTTGCAATTTTTACTTGCGAGTTCCAGGCAGCACTGTCTCCGGTAAACGCTTTTAAACATTTGCGATCAGTATATATCGTAAGCATTCGATAGTTATAGTTGGTATATCTCCCGCCGCCGGATGACAAAGTTGAACAGCTGGTCACACTGCCACATTCGCATCAGCTGCCAAAAAAAACTAAAAAACCGCAAGGAAATCGTGCAAAATGTTCAAAAAGTACGTATAGCTTGGGGTTTTCGGCGGGATCAGACTAACCACGGCCTCCGGGTCTATTGATCCATCCAGATTCGAGGAGAAGGACAGCATTTCCAGCATCCAACAGCTGAAGTCGTCGGTGCAGAAGGGCATACGTGCCAAGTTGTTGGAGGCATATCCGAAGCTGGAGACCCACATCGATCTGATCCTGCCCAAAAAGGACTCGTACCGCATTGCCAAATGGTAGGACGACATCATCAGTTATCTGGCTCTATAACCCCATTGATCGCTATCAATTCCCGCAGCCATGACCACATCGAACTGCTGCTAAATGGAGCCGGCGAACAGGTGTTCTTCCGCCATCGCGATGGTCCTTGGATGCCCACCCTGCGGCTCCTGCACAAGTTCCCCTACTTCGTTACCATGCAGCAGGTGGACAAGGGCGCCATCCGGTTCGTCCTGAGCGGAGCGAACGTCATGTGTCCTGGCCTCACCTCTCCGGGCGCCTGCATGACCCCGGCGGACAAGAGTACCGTGGTGGCCATCATGGCCGAGGGCAAGGAGCACGCCCTGGCCATCGGACTGCTTACGCTATCCACGGAAGAAATGTGAGTGCCATTAACCCATTAGGAGGTATTCTGCAACTCAAAACATGGTCGTCGCTAGGGTCCTATTTCTGGTGCAGCTACCCATCCCCATAAATAGCATTTTTTTGCCTAGCTATCAGAAACAAAGCTTTTATAAACTGTATGCAAGGAAATATCCCTAAATCGTTAATAGTTTGTTGTGGCCTATCAAACGTTTGTGTTCATAATCTGCTTCTAGTCGAATCTAATAGAACAAATTCTTCATTCCCAACACGACTATACTTAAGGTCTATATTTTATTACAGTTTTTGTAACAAATTTAAATAATTATTTTATAAACCAGGTACTGGTCAGCTTCAACAAAGTTAAGTCAAATGGGTTTTTTTTATTTCAGTAAAAACGGATTTAGAATAGTTACCATTTTATTTAAAAAAAGAGCGAGATTCGCTCTCCATAAAAAAGTTAAAATAAATATATGCTCTTCATTACCTACATATCTAAGACCATTACCTACGTCAAAGACGCCAAGTTTCTTATTACAATTGTCGACTGCATATTTCCTATATTTAAATAATAGGTGAACCCACATTTCTCTCCCCATTTCTATAGTCTGGCGAAGAACAAGGGCATCGGCATCGAGACGTACCACTTCCTCAACGACGGCCTGTGGAAGTCGAAGCCCGTGAAGTAGGCGAAATAGGAATCTGCACATGCACTTTTTAGTCTTCTATGTCATGAGAGCAAAGAATGGTTTTTGATATATGCAACTGAATCCTGTTTATTATTTTTTTCTCTCCTAATTTTACTCTGCCAGTTAAACTATTTAAATCAATGCGAAATATAATTAATGGCATTTAAATCAAACAGAGAGAGAAAAGAGAAAGAGAGAGCTGGAAAGAAGAAAACCACCTGTAGAAATGGTCCAGGTGAACTATGATTTGAACCCCTATTTGGGCAGGTCCAACAAATTATTTGGAAAGTTAATGGTTTGGCAGTGTCCCTTCTGTTCGAGTAAACAGTAAACTGGATACCTATAACTCCTTTTGTTTATTGATTTGTCGAGAAATCACTAAAATTAAGCCTGCAGCTTAGAGTTTTGCCAGGGCTGCAGACAATTTCTAGGAACATCTCAAGGTTAATGCTAAATATGAGGTACTTGTAAACTAAATCACCCATTTTAAACACTGAGTTGTATAGATAAGGATATGGGGGAAATTTTATAACATGAAAAAATGTGTATAAAAAAAAAGAGCTTTATACCTAAATGTTTAGTTTTTAGTTGTTTTGTTTCAAAATCAAGGAAATAAAGCTTCGCAAAACGTAACACTAAGATATTTTTTTTTGGTTTGGGTTTTGTTTCTTTGTCAGCCCAAATTATTAAAAATCATAGCATACTTTCTGGTAAAGACCGCAAGTGAGTGTAATATTTGTCCGAACGATACGAAATTTGGTACGTGGGTGGAAATTTAAAAAGCAGATCTAAATGGTCAATCTTTTAGAATCTAGCAGCCTCCCTGGTTTTCTCTTCAGTTTTCAGCTGGGCGATAAACGGTACAATCGGATCAGCTGATTTGCAGACATGCGCAATCCTGTCGCCTAACGGTACTCCATGCGCACTCCGCCGTTAATGGAGAAAGTGCTTTCCTTTCGCGTCACACAGCATTTGTCGCATCCAACGACAAGTGCAGCGCATTTTCCCCCGGAAAAAAACGAAAAAGCGGTGGAAAAACAGCAGGAAAAACCACAAGTGGTGGCTGCTTAACCGTTACCAAGCATTATGGCCATATTCGAAAGTAAAAATGGTAATACCCGATGAGTAATCACAGTGAAAAGTATTGAGCAGTGCTGCAAACATTTCTTAACATATGGATTTAATTGAAAATGAACCGTTGCAGTGCTTGCTGCATTGTTCGCTTGTGTATGTGTGTGTGTAAAAGTGGGAAAAAGTTTTTCAAGGAAAACGGATACACACTGTTTGAACTTTCCGAAGGTGCACAATTGCAATGTGTGTGCAAAAAGTTTTTTGAAAAGTGCAAAAGTGACGTGACGCGAAAACACGACATATACAAGCTTACAAACTTTTCGACATGTGTGTGCGTGGGTGAATACATATGGCGGCAACATAACACATACGTCTACAAAACATCCTTCCTTTACACTTACTATATTATTATATCCTTTGTATGTATTGATTTTACTACCATTTTTTAGGCGCTAATTGAGTTGTTGTTATTTGCAATGGTGGCCTGAAGCAGCAACAACAAAGCACCCACACCAGCAAAAAGGACTTTTGGCCCACACACACGCACTTGTAAAAGGAGAGTGTTAGAAAGAAAGCGGCAATATGGAGGACCTCTTTTTACTGGTTATCAAGGAGTCAACTGGAACTAAACATAATGCACTGCGACAAACGGCGCAAATCGCATACGGTAAGTTTTTTTTGTTTGCCATATGTGTGAATTACATTTACCGTTAACAAGAGAAAGTAAGAAAGAGCTAGGAAGAGGGAGAGAGCAGCTCCATTTCCTTACTTCCCTTCTCGCTTTCTCATCTCCGTTGTAGGTTTCATTGTGGCCTGGCCAAACGTTGTTGTTTACCGTTAGTTGCTACGTCCTTTGTGCAAATACCCTGCCATTTCCCAGTGCTGCATTTCGGCATTGTTGAGTTCCCAATTAAGTTAAAACAAATACATCACTGGAAATTTGTTTGTTTTATTTTTCACTGCTTCTTATTTTCTTTAAAACGAAATTGAAGCTTATATTTAATCTAACAGGATGCTCTTTACTCTTCCAAATGTAATTGTTAAAGTTACAAAAGTTCATGTGCATTTTTTTAATTTCTTTCTTTAATTTGCTTTCATAGTTAAAATAACATAGGAAGGTAAATTTTATATAAATATCTGTTATAATTTGTTTAAAAATCCTAACCATTCATAAGTAGCACCTATGTAGTTGTCCTGAAATCATATAAAAGTCTATATAAATTCTATTGGAATTTGATTGAATATAATTTCGTAGCCCCCGAAAAAGCTGCATATTTTTTGCAGAGCATTTCAACTGTGGGACACGGCTGAATATTTTCTTTGTTTCCCTTTGATTTTCCGACTCTTCAGCTGGCTTTTGTGTTTTTCTGCGTTGGCGTTGCAGGAAAGTAGGCAACGATTTGCGGGCGGAAAAATGTGGGAATTCCCGCATATCCGTTCGCCTTATCGGGACTGATTTTACTGCCTGCATTAGTTACATACTTGCGTGCCTATAGCGATAACCGTTAATCGCGGCGACTTACCACTAATTCCGGCCGTAGCTTTTCGCACACAAAGGGAATATCATAAAAAAATAACAATGTAATACATATATTATTTATTGGTTTTATAAATGACTATCCTGTAAAATATTCTGCAAATAGATTAAGTGTCTATATGCAGACGATAAGGATATTGTTTAGATATTTTTATACATTAAAAAAAGGTATCTTACTATTGATTTAAAATCATATAATTGAGTAGAAAATGGAAATATTAGGATATTAAATTGATATTAAAAAAACCTATGGAAAATAAATTCCTTCTTATGGATTTAACTACAAAATAATATACTGAGATGAAAAATAAGTTTTATATATGTAACTATATCAAACAGATTTAACACATACTAATAAGAAAACCAATTAATGAGGTCCTCATTTTGTTCTCCCATCCAGACAAACTCTACCGCCAGCATGGAATCCATCGGGATCCGTCGCACGAGCTACGCTCCGTTTGCTTTACCGCCCTGCAGATGGCGCTGGACACGAAGCGGCCCAAGTTCATCACGATGGGACTCAACGGGCTCCATGTAAGTGCACCGTCCGGAAACGGCGATTATCGGGAGGGGTAATGGTAATGGGGGCAACAATGGCCATAACAACCACTGACACACATTTTCCGGCCGGAACTTCCGGCGCACAAAGCGGATTTATCATTCCGTGTGCACACACTGGCCAAAGGACATGGGAAATGGGATTCGGAACATGGGACATGGCATATGGCAGATGTGGGACATTGGGGCCATTTGTGGGCACTGGGCGGAATCGCCTAATTGCTGGGAGTCCTTGGGGGTCGGAAGTGACTTTTGTTTATGACTGCTTAACAATATGGTAATCAATAATTCCGGATTTGGTCCTGCACTTTGCTGTTTGGCCTTTTGCTCTGGCTATTTTTATACCATCGCCCTCTACTCGTCCAAAGAAAAAATGAAAAATCAAGGATAAAATGTTACTGAAAGGAAACCTGATTTATATTACATCCTTGATCTTTTATTTTTTCTTTTCGAAGGTTTAGTTATGTTAACATTGATTTGGTTTTATATATTTATACCTAATATATGTTTGTTTATACATTTGATTAAACGCAGCTTTTCATGTGTTTATTTTTTATAATCTATTTAATACCCTTCCATATTCCTGATTATCTTATATCTAACATATTGTTCTTACATTTTCCATTCATTTAAGGTATTATTCCGCTCCCTTAACTTAACTTAATTTTAGTAATTACTCCACTTATAATGTCCATATTGTCAGACAACCTCTGCTAATCCAAATTAATCCCGTTTTGCCATCCCAACAGCGCGTCATCAAGGACGAGCGCTTCTACATCGGCCTTGAGCCAGAGGACGATTCCGTGTGGCTGCCATCGCAGCTGCTGAGGGCCACCAACGGCATCCTGCCGTCGACGAGCAGCGAGGACACGGTGGTCAATGTGCTGCGCCTCTTCCTGGCGATGGCCTGCTCCCCCGCCTGCACTCTGAACGGCCGCCTGCTCATCGAGATCCTGTCCAGATGCGGCGAGTGCTGGGAGATGGGCTCGCGGGCCACCAAGGCCGCGTCCTTGGCCGCCGCCTCCCAGTGCCTGCGCACCTTCTGCGCGTTCCTCATCGAGGAGGCCGAGGAGGTGAAGAAGACGGCGCCCGCCGGCCTGATGACGCAGACCCAGGCATCCGCCGTCTACAACGAGGTCATCCCGGTGATGCAGTGGCTCTGCAGCCGACTGGTGGAGCCCAATGTGAATGCCTCGCCGAATAAGAAGTGCGAGAACCACAGCTCGCTGTATCTCACCGAATGCATCCTCACTTTGAGCTCAGCCCTGCCCCGGAATGTCCATGCCAATCCGCACTTCACCTCGTTTCTCTGGCAGAAGTTCTGTCCCACTTTGGCGGCGGCACTGGGTTCACCCGGCAGGATCAACCTGGACAAGAAGTTCACCTACAAGTGAGTGTGAACTTTTCAAATCATTTAAAATGGTTTCCAGTTCAGCGGACTGTATACTTGAAAACATCTTAATACGTGGTTTAAAGACTTTTTTAATACATTTAATATGTTTTAACCCTAATAATTTATATTTCTTTTAGGGACGCCCTACACATGATAGAGAACGAGGCACGTGGCTTCTTCACGGGTCCAGGCTTGGATGGTCCGCAGGCCCGTTGCGTCTACTTGACGGCCATCCAGTTACTCCGGATCGCCGGAGCCCATGGCTCCCTGCGTCCCATGCTGGAGGCCCTATTCCACCGGATGCTCCTGCTGCCGGCTCCCCAAAATCGCACAGAGCCACTCCGCTGCGTAAGGGAGATCTTCAAGAGCCCGGAGCGACTGATCGATCTGGCCGTGATTCTATATGTGGACAAGAACACCGCCCAGGGATGCAGCGATGAGATGGCGTTGTTCCGGCTGTGAGTTCATAGTTAATTATTTTCCATATCGATGTTTGAGAAATGCATAAGCTTGACGAAACAAATTAATTCGGGGATGGATGGTTAAAATCATTAGCTGTACTGACATTATTTTCTCTGTCCGTCTTAGTTTATCAAAGTTAAAACGAAAAAACTTCTGAAAAATGTGTTTTACTTTGTCAAATCCTCAAAATCCTCTTGAAAAATGTGACATATTTTGTAAAATTCTTTAAAACGCAAAAACAAATAAAAATCTTTGAAATTAGAGCTTGAAGGTTAAAGTGTCATAAAATGAACCTATTATTTTCAATTTAATGTGATTATAAAGATCTTCACTAGATATTACAAAAGTATTGTTAATTGTTATCGCTTTGTAGTATGTTTAATTATTTGGATGCTTTAGAGGAATGCCATTATCCTATCATTAGTTTATAATATATATATTTTATAATATTTATTTGTATTATCTCACAGCTTGGTGGACGCCATGGAGGAGTGCGCCTATGGAGCCAGCGGCGTGGGCTCAGCCACGGAGGCCAGTCTGCAGGCCAGTGTGGAGTGCATGGTGGCCCTGCTGGACAGCCTGCAGGTGCTGTGCAGCGGCGAGCTGACCGAGTCGATGATCAGCGACCAGATCGTGCAGGTGGTGAACGGGCGGCACGACCTGCTCAAGGACGCGGACTACTCCGGGCCACTGACCTACCAGAGCATGGCCCGTCTGCCGGCTCCCTATCGCGATGCCATCGTGGAGTTCCGGCAGAACGTGTTCGAGACCTCGTCAGGATCGGAGAGCGAGGGCGAGCCCCCGCACGAGCAGGATGCGGCCTCCAATGGCTCGGGGACACCGAGGGACCCGAGGACGACGACCCCAGCAGTTCCAGCGACGAGACGTCGCGCGTGGAGAACCGCTGGCCCTACTCGCACCTGGAGGCCCCCGTGATGCCCATTCGGACCGACAGCGACAATGATCGGCAGCATGCCCGGGACTTTGCCCGGGCCTTGAGGCAGGATCTGGTGCCGAAGCTGCTGCGTCTGCGCAGCTGCGTGGAACTGGACGAGGCGATGCAGGAGTTCGCCTCGGCCGTCTGCCAGGAGAACAGCATGAACTTCTCGGACTTCGACTACAACCTGACGGCCATCAATGCGGACGGGATCTACCTGGCCATCTACTCCTCGCTGCTGCTCAGCCTGCAGCTGATGCGGGCCGGCTACTACGAGCAGGTGGCCCAGGGCATGTCCCACAAGGACATCCTGGTGCCCATGTCGGAGCAGCAGTTCGTTACCTCCGTGCAGAATACGGGCGTTCTCGTCTATCTCTCCTCGCCGTGGCTGTGCGAGCTCTACCAGTCGGTGACCGTGTGCAATATCCTCGACGCCATGCCGCGCCAACAGCTGGAGGGGATGGGTCCGCGCTGCGCCCTCGTGGACATGCTGTGCGATGCCGGAGGACTGGGCGCCACCCAGATGCTCTCCGAGTGGCAGCGCCTGCAGACGGCGAATGTGAAGCACAAGGAGGAGGAGCAGCTGCACGACAAGCGCAGGGAGGCGGCCAAGAAGCTGTGCCGCCGCTTGCTCACCTGCTGCTGGGACTCGATGGTCATCGTGCTGAGTTCGGGGCTGGGGGATCTGCAGACCAGTTCCGCCTCCAACAAACTGGTGGCCCTGTCCAAGCGAACACTGAGGGTTAAGGCCAAGGCGAATAAGTCGAATGGAGAGGCCCTGTATGCCATGTGCCTGGATGGGTTGCATTCGGTAAGGACTTAAAATAATAAGTACTAATTCTGTTCTAATACCAGACTTTCTTTATCACCAGGCCGCCACGCTCAGCAACAGCTTGAATCTGCAGCATTTGGCCGGGAAGATTCTCAACCTGCTGGCTTCCAATGTCTGCCAGACCTCCGGGCCCCGCATCTCCGCCAGTCAGGCCATGTCCATGGACGTGGTGCTGACCGGTGGCCTGAATCTGGGGAGCTACAGTGCCGACTGCTGGCCAAGCATCTTCGCCGTGTGCCGGCATGTCAGCCAGCTGGAGCACGAGATCTTCAGCATGCAGAACCCGGCCATTTCCGCCTCGCCGGGCAGCAGTCGCCGGGATCTGGAGACGGGCGAGAAGCTGAGTAACGGCAATGCCCAAGACAAGCTCAATCTCTCCTCCATACCCATCGATGACGATGAGACTTGGTAGGGAGATCTATTTCCTATTATTAACACCCAAATGCTGATCCAATTACCCTCCTTAGTGTGGACGTGTACAGCTTCCTGCAGGCACCGATGCAGAGTCCCAACACGAACATCACCTCCATCCTGAAGGTCTACTCGGGAACCAACGAGACGGTGCTCCTCAGTCAGAGCGACACCTCCAAGGTGCTCTGCGCCCTGTCCCACCAGGCGGAGAACCTCTTTGGAGACGCCGCCGAAAGGCTCAGTCTGCCCTCGCTGTGCCAGTTCCTCAAGCACTTGTGCCGCGCCTCCAGGGAGCAGCTCTACAAGAGCCAGGTGGCGCGCAAGGGCAGCCGCATCTGGTGGCCCAGCAAGGGCTGGAAGAAGCTGGACTCGCTGCCCATGTCCCTGCTCCTCCACCGGATCGGAGATGTCACGCTCAAGGTGTTTCGCAGCTCGCGCCCGCTGCTGCACGTGCTCAAGGTCTGGGCCATCACAGGACCGCATCTGATGGATGTAAGTGCCTTAAAACTCATCGCATTTCATATTCTCGTTTTCCTTTATAGTCGTTTTATTTTGTTATGCCTGATGGATATAAAATCTTTATAAAATAGCCAAAGATTATTTTATTTCTATAAAAAAGATATTTTGGCGCATACTCAAAAGCATTGTGCTATTGCTTAAAAAAAAATCTCATTTAAACATAAAAACACACATGCTCAGATGTTTAAAACTAAAACCAATGCTAATTTTATTGGTGTTTTGTAGTGACCATAAAACTCACTGCCATTAAAGCTCCCAATTTACCTTTAAAATTGGGTAATAGAATGTTTTAAACCTTTTTTTTTTGTGAACTTTTATATTTGTTTCTTTCATTACTCTTCATACTTCTTTAGTTATAATGTTGTATTATTCCCTATCCTTTGTGGCACCTAACTAACTATCGAAATCCCATACTTAAATCATTTGCAATTTGAAGGCCGCCTGCCACCGCGACCGTATGATCTCGAAGCGGGCGATCGAGTACATCCACGACATAATTACCGCCCTTCTGGTGGAGCAGTCGGAGCTGCCGTACTTCCACTTCAACGAGGCGCTGCTGAAGCCGTTCGAGAATCTGCTGAGCATGGACACGGACGTGGACGTGCAGGACCAGATTGTGGCCTGTCTGTACGAGGTGGTGGAGGCGCATCGCACGGAGATCCGCTCCGGGTGGCGACCTCTGTTCGGAACCCTTCGGAATGCCCGCAGCCGGATGCTGAACATGAGCAACATCATCGACATCTTCCGCGTCTTCCTCGACTCGGACAACACGCTGGTGTTCGCCAACGCGGGACTGGACTGCATCCTGTGCCTGCTCTCCTACCTGGAGATCTCCGGCGGGGGGAATAACAATGCCTGCTCCGGTGGAGGTGGAACTGCAGCTGGAGGAACGGGATCGAGTGGCGCGGGTGGACAACAGGAGGAGGACAACACTTTTAGACCGACGGACTTCCTCCACGAGACCCTGCGGTTCCTGGAGCGCTGCTCTAGCATCCTGGGCTTCATGCACAGCATGCCGAAGTGCCCCAACTTCCACTCGACGTACAAGATCAAGGGCATCTCCTACACGCACATCATCGACGCGAACATACCCAGTTCGATGGAGAACTTCACGTACTTCGGGAACGACTATCTGCAGACGCGGAACGAGCAGTACATGATCTCCTACCGATCGCTGCACATCGACAAGGACACCATCGTCAAGATCGACGAGATGGACAAGCCGTCGGGGGTGCTCAAAGTGTGGTTCCTGCTGCTCGACGGACTGACCAACTCGCTGATCGTCTGCCCCTACTCCCACCAGGCGCCCATCCTGCAGACGATCTTCAAGCTGTTCAAGAACCTGCTCGCCAGCCCGGGCATCGACTTCGGTTTCTATTGCATCAACCACCTGCTGGTGCCGATGATCCAGGACTGGCTGCGGTACATCAACAAGACGGGCTCCTCCTGGCAGCTGGTGGAGAAGAACTTCAAGCACTGCTGCTGCATGACCACCGACCTGGTGGTGGAGTTCATCGAGAAGTCGGTGCCGGAGCAGCGACGTCTGGGGGCGGGCACCAAGACGCGATTGGCGCAGATAGTCCACCCGGCGGACAACCTACTGTACTCCAAGCTGAAGTTTGTAACGGAGAGGATTGAGCGGGAGCAGCAGCAGCAGCAGCAGCAGTCGCTGCCTGTCCAGGATCAGGGATGTGGCTACAGCCAGCAGTACGACAGCAGTTCCAGCTCCGCCAGCGAGGAGCAGCAGAAGAACGGGGGAGGAGGAGGCGGAGGAGCAGGTGGCGGATCTAATCTTATCGAATCACCCACCAAGATCTCGGGCTCGGCCACGCTGGCCCTGAAGCAGCTGCTCCTGGTCCTCATCGAGTGTGCTGCCCAGTCGCAGGAGGCGATTGCCAGGATCTCGGTGTCCTGCCTCAAGCACGTGATCCTCTCCACCGGCATGCTCTTCAACGAGTCCCAGTGGATGATCGCCTGCTCGGCCATCCATCGCGCCTGCACCGTAACGATTGCCCCACTGCGTCAGCTCTCGTTTGCCTTCCATGAGAAATCCAACAGCTTCTACGGCGATTGTGCCAACGTGAAGGTGGCCGCCCGGCGGGACAGCAGCCTCGAGGAGCTGGCCAGGATCTACGCGCTGGCGCAGCAGGTCTTCCTCTCGGACAATCAGCGGGAACCGGGCCAGAATCAGGCGCCCACGCCCAGTGCCTCGCAGTGCAAGTTGTCCGACGACAGGAGCTACTCCTTCCTCCTGTACCCACTGAACAACGGCTTCAACTCGAACCTGGACAACTTTGTGATCCGGATTCCGTTCAAGAACCTGGTGGTGGGCCTGCTGGCCAACCAGATGCTGCTCCAGCTGGTGGCCAAGCTGCTGCTGTCGCGCTTGAAGTGTGTGCCCCAGGCGGTGTCCACCTGCATCTTCGACAACTATGCCGCTTCGGCGGCCTCGCCCAGTCACGACTACGACCTGGACTTCCGCTCCAAGGAGATCCTGCTGCGCTGCGTCAAGCAGTACCTGATGTCCGCCCTGGAGTTCGACTCGCGACCCGGCCTCAAGTTCCTCATGCAGAAGGTGTCGAACATTGAGTACGCGGCGAATCTGTACAAGCAGATGACCTCCTCGTGGATGATCTACTACATTGCGCTGGTGGACTCGCATCTCAACGACATTGTGGTGTACAATCTGGGTCCGGAGGACCTCAACTTCATCCTGGAGTCCTGCTCCCGCCTGAATACCACCACTGTGAAGAAGAAGGAGAACTTTGTGAGGTATCTGTTCTGTCTGCAGGACGCCTGGAATCTGGTGTGCGAGCTCTACCTGAGTAACTCTGCCCTCCATGAGATCGAGAGTGGATCGGGCAAGCTGCGCCAGAAGCCACCGCAATTGCACCACCATGCGCAGAGCAAACCCATGTGCATCTCACTAAATGGCAACGGAGATGCCGAGATGACGGATACGGGTTCCGGATCGGGTTCGGGATCCGGTTCCGGGAGCAGCACCTCGCCCAGCAAGTGCGTCCAGCTGCAGGAGGAGGAGAACGTGACCATGACCACGCTGATCAGCGAGTTCCAACCGAAGTGCCGGAGCAATCCGTTCGACACCAATCGGCAGGCCAAGTCCTCGGAGGCGGAGTCCATCTCCCCGGAAATCGAACAGCAGCGGGCCAGCAGCATCCTGAAGGACTCCAACTACAAGAGGGCCGCCTTGGCCCAGCTGGTGGTCGCCTCCATGGAGCTACTGCGTTCGCTGCCCGGCGAGGCCGAGGAGAACCTCAAGCTCCTGATGACCCCGACCATTCGCGAGGCCTTCCGCCTCGTCCAGCTGCAGGGCAACGAGCTGAAGGTCAACCAGTTTTAGGCCATGCTTGTTGAGTTTTATTTTGATCTGTAGGCGCAGCCCCTGCCCCTACCGAAGGATCCTTCCTCCCCCTTCCAGAAGTCCCGCAAAAGTAATCCCGATCCCGCTCCTGCTCCTGAATGGCTAACTTACAGCTACGTCTGCATCTCATGCTCTCTCTGTCTCACTCTATATATCTGTCTCTCTCTGTCAGTGGAAGGTTATTGCTTCAGTGCGGCCAACGAATATATATCGAATATAACGCGAATAGATCAAATGATAAAGCCTAAAAATGTGTGAATGTAGCCTATGTCGTCGTATAATCATATCTAATTATGGTGTCTAAATGAATTTCCTTCGAAAACTTTATGTAATGCCTGTACTTCATGACCTAAGATTGTTTCAATCGAAAACTTGCTATCAGTATTATCTTCTTAGATGAAAGAACATTTTTCTAAGTAAAATATTCGTAAAATGTATTAATAATTAACTAATGGAACAGGTACTACAATATATAATCAGACACATCAAAGTTGTAATTTTTAGAAAATATCAAGATATATTTAAGCAGCTTGTAACGACGTTCTTAATTCATTTGTTTCTATAAATTCTACAATATTGTCAGGTTTTGTTTATTTAAGTCGTTGTTTTATGAAGTATTCCAAAACTAAGAGTTATAATAACTTGTATGCTTTACATGCAACGTTGGCCACACTGCACGCAGACCCTCTAGCTGTCCCTCTCTCTCTCGCCGGCAGTCCCCAGCACAGCAGGCAAAACCATTTCAAAGTAAAAGCTCAACATGCCAGCACAAAAAAGCAAAACTATCGAAAGTACAACAAGAACAATGTTGCAAGGATATCAGTTATATAGGATGTCATCTTGCGATTAGAGGATGATGATGATGAAGATGACGAAGAAGCGTAGACAACGTAGTCCTGTACATTAAATTTAGTCAAGACTTTCTCACACTTAGCCCCTGCACCGCCCCCTGCCCCCCGCTCCCTTCTTCCCTCTAGCCTCAAAAACCACGCCCCCTATCCCAGCACTTTTCGACTTCGAATATTGTAAAGATGTATCAGCGAGCACCTGCCCCGCCCTAAAAATCAGTATATTATATAAATCAGTATATATATATATATATATATTTATAAATTAAGAGTGTAAACTTATAGCGAATGTTAACTAACACAAAATCAGTGCCGCCCATTAATCCACGATTACCACCATTAAAGATTAGATCACACAAGCATACACATAGAGCCTATACTAAAAACATATGTGTGTCCAGTAGTCCCGCGCTGCCTTTAAAAAATACTTGCATACTTTTGTACCAGTGTGCGTACCTAAAAAAGAGAAAAAATATGGAAAATATCGAAAGCAAAATAACCGAAACAAATTCTAGCCACCTTGCTGCACTATCGAAGCTTATTAGCCTACATTTTCACGCCCCCACACACACACACACACATATACACATGCATACCACATAATATCAGGGATCAGAAAAGAAAATGGGGAATATTGAAAAAACTCTAGATTCTCCTGTCTCTGTCCCACCATCGATTTGCCCGCGCTCCCAGCTAATAGCTATAGCGATAAAGATAACGATACCGATACCTACAGTTATATGCCTATATAAAGATCTAAAGAGTTATATATTGTACTTATATGTATTATAGTTGCCACTTGGGTATAAATGTTGTAAATGTCTAACAAAGGAAACATTTTTATATGTGAAAACTATTAGCAACAGCGCTACAAATCTATACTATAAATATAATTATATACACATATACATTTATTTTCGCTTCGTCGTATACAGTATACAGTATATAATATATATAATATATAGAGAACTATGTACTTGTGTTATTTACTTGCCCATCAACTCTCTCAATCTATCTCTCTCTATTGACTTGTATGTGTAAGTGCGAAGAGTGCAGTTGCAGAGGCCCCGCAGAAAGTGTAGGAAGAAAAGATCGCGATCGCGCTAGGCTAGTACTAAAACTCTCCAAGAGTGCATTTGTAACATGAATGAGAATAAACGATTCCACAATGCTTTCGCAACTTTACTAAACAATCGTAATACGTCTTTGTTTTAATGCTGAATTCAAAATGGAGCGCTAAAAAATGGTAGCTTTGGGAGATAACAGTATCTGCAGCGTTGCCAGATCACCAATCAATGGTGATCCCGATCGTTTATTGTGCATATGTATTTTGAAATGTAACAACAGACAAAACTTTTGTTTTTAAATTTTAAAAATATTCTTTCAGGAAAATGATTTTGTTAATGATTGCAGTTTTAAATAATATAAATGTAGTTTATTACGAATGCAAGTAGCAATCCCAAAAAAGCTTTACAAATTGTGGAGTTTAAAATACTGGTAACTGGTTCGAACGTCTGGCAGCGCCGGCGCAAAAGCGTTGGCAGTCGGAAAACTGGTTTGGTACTACCATTTTTGGTATCTTTCGCTTTCCCAGCTGCGCGGTCACTTTGACAACGGCTCCAATTTATTTGCCGCCTCAATTTGTCGTCGCCACTCGCGATATTCACGTCGTCTGTGCGGAACATCCCGTCCCCAGAATAAATAACTCCCACATTTCGTCTTCCAATTTTCCATACAAAGTAAATCTCAATCGCTGCCGGCTTTAAAATATATTTTTTAACGCGTGTGTCTTGCTGTATTTATTTTTTTTTTTGGAGTTCCTGAGTGTGTTACTTCGATTTTGGGGCCAGCAAAAAGTGCTGAAAGTGCTCGTGGGCTCACAAAACGCTGCACCTGTCTCACCTGAGCGCTTCAAGCCACAAAAGTGTAAAGTGCAGCGCGACTCTTTGCTTTTCAGCGGTTTTTTTCTATATTTGTTATTTCGAGATCCGAGATTCAGCAAGAATTCTGCGAGCGTGTGCGAGTGTTGTTATTGCTGCCGCGCTCTAATTGCCAGGTTTCGTGTGGAGAATTCTTCGGCCGCTTCTTTTTCATCTACTTGGGACGCCCGCACCGCAAATGAGGTAAAAATAATAAATAAACTAAGAAAAGACAAGGGCTAGCAGCACGAAAATTGCACCACCATGAAGTACACAAAGAAAAGAAGTTCTGGAAATTTGCACAGAAAAAAAAGTGCCTTTATTATCACAAGTCCTTTCGAATTCCAAACATTTTTTAAATCTTGAAATAAACTACTTATTTTCAAAAGCAATTTGGAAACTATTCCTATAGTATTTGATAACTTTTAATAAATATTCAAAGTCTTGCCGATTTGTTCGTACAAGATAGAATATGTAAAATGCAATTTTGAATGCATATTAAAAACCCAAAATATTAATATGCAATTTAAGGTGCATTTTAAAGGCCAACCAATTGTTTGGGAAATAAATAAAATGTTCATTTGTTTATTAAATACAATTATTATAAGGACTGAATTTTTTCCCAAAAGAATACAACATTTGAAGACATTTTGTATATTTGTCTGTGTACTTTTCTCAACAATTTATGTTAGCGTTTGAACATGTAACTGAATGCCTTGGTTTTTCTGTTATTGTTAGTACTATATTGTTGTCTTGGTAGCCGTCATCTATAAACCGCTTAACGGGCGACACAATTTTCAGGTATTAATAAATAACGCGTTAATTGTCGCCCGGCCTTCAACTGATTCGTTTGTTATTGTTACCCATATTATTCTTGCTGATGTGTCTTCGTGTTCGATGTGCTCTAAATACTTTGAGGTTCACGGAGAAGATCTGGAGTAGTGAGAAGAAGAAAGTTCTTACTGCCCTCTTTAGTAACGAATCAATGTCTAGACCCAACAATTTGCGAATTTGCATCACAATATAATCTCTTTTTCGGGTGGCTATATACATCTGTTGTTTTCCCAGAAAACATTAAAATTTATTGCTGCTAAAAAACAATCAAAAAAAAGTCCTCCAATAAAAAATAAAAGATAATCTTAATTTATATAGCGATGATTGATGATAAATAATAATTAAAAATCTAAATTTGGAATGCCCAATGAGAAAGAATTCTTCATCAAACGGTCTTCCATGAAATTAAGTTAATTGCATTCGAAGTTCATTGGGAATACTTAAAATCTTACATGGAAAATGTAGGTGAAAAAGCGTACCCAAGACCAATTCGGAATGGAAAACAATGGCCAAAAGAAAATGTGTGTTAGGAGTCTGGCCCTCGGCTGATAAACGAGAATCTGAAAGACCGCCCGTAGAATCGTTTACACAGCGGTTTCCTTGAAAATGAGCTAAAGCCTCGTTATGATTGATGGACTGGCTAACTGATTGGGCCGCCTGATTGATCATTGCATCTTGGCTGGGCCGCTGCTTATGCAATCCCCGCCAGCAATTTGGACACTCGAGCCGCAGACTCGCACTCACCTGGTGAGCACCTGGCCAATGGGCCTGCGGTGGGTTAAAGACACCAGACGAGCAATAACAATACCAGGCACACTTTGGCTCGGACATTTTACCATTTCACAAAGCGGCGACTTTCGAATGAGCGCGGCTTGTGGGCCAATCGGTTAATTGCATTTCCTGGACACCTCGTCATCGTCATCGCCGTCGTCATCGCATCGTGAATACCCATCATTCCCATTCCCATTCCCATTCCCATGATGATGGGGCGTTAATGGTGCTTTAATTACCCGGACCGTTTGGCAGGGATCTCGGGATCTTGGATCTCGGGACCCGCATTGCATTGCATTGCATTGCACATGCAAATTGCCAAATGGAAAATGCCAATTCACGTTGCGCGTATCTCATAGATACACAAAATTGAAATTATAATAAAAAGCAAAGAGGTAAAAACAGTTGCCGCCGCTGCCTTCGGCTGCCCAGGCTGGCTCTCAAACTCGGTTCAGCTCAGCTCCTTTTGTAATTCAAGCCACCGCACCACCAGCTGCACCACACACAGAGAAAATCCTTTCGCAACAGATATTCATCTACATATTTCATAAGAAAAATAATCCTTCCTTTTTGTAAATTACTAGGTGGGTAAACCTTAATTGATATCATCGAGCAGGATATTCAATTTTGAAACCTGAAAGGTAGATTTCTTAATTATAAATACCAAACTGGTTGAAAAGTATGTCCTGAATTCTTAGTTCTCCTACTTTTCTAGTTGTTTAAATATTTTGGCTTTAAAATAAAGAAGTTCTTAAAAGTTTTAATGTTGTAAACAATTATGGCATGATATGAGATGATTCTTTTCAAAATGTTTTGTTACTTTCTTTAGTTATATTTAAAAAAGCACTTGTTTAGCGATTTAACATTTGTGTTGATAGGAGTATATCCTCTATCATTCTATTTATTTAAGTACACTTATTGGAGCACATATATTTAATATATGTCCGTCCTAATTGTTTTCGGTGCAGCAAACCAACTGCCTGGGCAACCAGTTCGCCTCGCCGCCCAGTTAGCCTCAGATGGCATTTTTGCCAGGCGGACCTGGCGGACAAACAGAAGGACGGACTTTCGGCGGCGACTCTCGGACTGGTTGGGTTTTCCACTGCGACTGGCATTTGTGGCATAGGATAAGCCTTTTAGCCAACTTAACCCACTAGCAACCATTGCTAAATTAGCGAAAAGTAAACGTTTGCTTAGTTGTTTGTTTTTCTTAAGAGTAATTAGGGCATAATTGTTATGGCGTTGCACTCAGTTATGTTTCATGAGTGCAAAGATTTTGCATAAATTCTTTAACTAAGTTTCTAAGCTTTTTGCAGAGTAATTATAATAATTAATGTCGTATAATTTCAATGGTATTTTGTTTAAATTGCTTTTCTTTTATAACAAAAAAAAACTGAATTTCTTCAAGTTCTTAGATTGGCAAAGCTTCTAAATGGGGAAAATTATAATAATCGTAGTGGGAAAGGAAGGAAGAACAAAGCATAATGGGAAGGGTTATTCCCCAGGAGATCTAGGGTAGCAATGGGTATTCCTGGCTACTTGTGGCCATTGCCCTGAGCCGCTCTAGAATTCCCCGGATAGATTTCGCTGCAACTTTCGCTGTGGCGAGGAGATGATGATCTGCAGATGGCTTCGGCAAAAGCCGCGCCCATCCAATCCAGTTTGTACCTCCATCTGTTCCTCTCCGGCGCCCACTGAAAAATACCCAGAAGTGGCAGCTGGGCCGCCAGCTGTGGCTCCATCTCCATCTCCTGCCCCCCGTCTCCATCTCCATCTCCATCTGTGTTTGAATCTGAATCTGAATCTCCTTCGCCTTCGTGGAGTTTTGGCAGCTGTTTCGCGTGGGCAACTTGGACTAAAAGGGATTGGGTAGAGGGGTACACAGGGAAAAAAACATTACAATATCACAACATCAGCTACCCATTGTCAGCTTAATTTTGTCATATTCATAAGGTAAATAAGCAAAGTCAAATAGGAAATATCGTGGAGTCTTTTTTCAGTTGGCAATAGATTCATTTATTAGGAAATCAAATACAGCTACACTTGGAAAAATAATAATTGCGTATTTGAAAATAAAATAAAAGGGCATTTAAGTTTGACAAAATTTTGAAAATAATTTATATGAATTATAAGTACCAGCATTTTATTATTTAAAAAAATTTATATAATTTTTGAAATTATTGCCTCCTTGCTTGTCCTATATAAATTCATATTTTATTGCTTTTTATTTATGGGCTAGTTAACATTTTTAAACAGTTGTAAAAACACACACTAACAACATGATTTTATCCCTATTACGACCCTTACGAACTTAGGCACTCAGTAGTAAAAGCATAAATAATTTTTACAACTTCTTTAAGCACTTAAATATGTTTCACAACGAAGTGTGTTATGGGAAGTGGCTTTTTTGAACTTAAACATTTTAAATGCCGAAGATTATGGTTATCCCTACAAATGAATAGTTTTTTTTTTTTTAATTTTAGTGTAAATGTAGAGTAGGAACAGGGCAGCTCGGCACTTCAATTAAAACCAACACCCTCGAAAGCCTCCAAAGCTAGCAAACACAATTGCAACTGAAACTGAAAACGGCAACGGTGAAACATCAATTTATGCAAAACAATTCAATTTTAGCCGCCATCAGCGGTCATTTACCTCTTTTGCAACTCCCTCTACTTTTTCTGTCTGTTTTTTGTTTATTTCTTTTTTTGTTTATTAAGCGGCACCCATCATTTTGCTTTAGGGCACAATGCAAACGTACTTGAAACAAAGTTTCGTGTCACGCCTTGGACAAAAAGTTGTTCAATCTTTCACACGCTGCAAGTGGGTGGCTGCAATAGCAACAACAACAAGAGCCACAGCTGCAACACCAACAGCAACAACAACAACTAGATGCTGCAGCAGGTGTGTGGGAATCTTGGCCAAATAGCAAAAGTTCAATAGCAGCAACGGCAACGCTTGATGATGCGATTGTTGCTGCCTGCCACTGATGATGTTGCTGGTTGTTTGTGGCGTTTACAGTGTTGCTGCTGTTGCATTTCGCCGCCAAAAAACATTGGGCTGCAAAAGTAAACACCAGCAATGCTGCCATTTACCCATTGTGCAGCTGCTGGGGCGGGAATGTTGCTGGTGTTGCTAGTGTTGCTGCTGTTGCTGCCAATGTTGCTGCTGTGCCTGCCAATTTCCAGCTGACGCAATCAGGCAAATGAAGAGGCAGGCAGCGATGCCAAGCTCATCTTGCACGCAATCAAACTCTGAGTGATTTGAAGCGCAAAATTTAAATTGTTTTGCCAGTCGACGGTTTCACTAAAGTTTGATGTTGCTGGTTTGCGCTTTGTCCCATTGCCACACACACGAAGCGTTTAAGTAGCAGCATCAGCTGCCACATAAAATACACAGAGTTATGGCCAAATATATTTATTTTACAATTTATTTGAAATCTGAATTATGTCGAAAATGGTTTCCTCGTTATTTAGAGCCTGTCTAAATATCACAAACAAATAATGACTTAACTTGCAAATTTACTTATTTGTTGATTTAGTACACCTATTAATTATTTGATTTCGTAATTTATAGAAATATATTTCAGTTTCAATTTGCGT